AGAGGAATGTGAAATTAAAGGTCTCCGTTTGAACGCTAATAAAACTAAGGTTCTGCTATTTGAAAGGGACGAAGAGAGAACGAAGTGTGAAATATGGGTAAATCAGGAATGTCTAGAACAAGTAAATGAAATTGTGTACTTGGGGAGTGCTTTTAGCCGGGATGGAAGATGTGATTTAGATGTGGACAGGCGTGTCGCTGCCGGGAACAAAGTCAATGGTGCCCTGACTGCGTTAGTCAAAAGGCAAGGCGTAGTGAAGAGTGCACGCCTTGCAATACATAACGCAGTGTTGGTACCGGCTTTGTTATATGGCAGCGAAACCTGGGTATGCCAGAAGAAGCATAAAAGCAAGTTGAATGCAGTGGAGATGCGATCTCTTCGTAAAATGTGCGGCGTTACCATGGCCGACCGAAAGCGAAACGAAGAGATTCGCAATATGGCAGGTTTGAAAGATGACCTTATCACAAAAATTGATAAGGGCGTGCTTCGGTGGTTTGGGCACGTTGAGCGAATGAGTGAAGACCGAATGGTGAAGAAAATATATAGCGCGAAAGTTAATATTAAAAGGTGTCGAGGTAGACCGAGACTAACTTTCGAAGACCATGTGAGCAAATTGCTCGAAGAGGGTAGGGTCAAGAGTACTCGGATACCTAGACGTGCATGTATGAAGAAGATAATGAATCTGAAAGAAGCGAAAGAGGTATGTAAGGATCGTGACACTTGGCGATCTGTTCTCTCTGGCTACCCCGTCAGGGATTGTGCGTGAAGATAAGTTAAGATTCAAAAGTGTTTACTTACAAACCTTTGCATAATATTATTTATTACATTATAAGGTTTTTTTTTTCGTGCAAGCAGTTAGCAGTTCCAGAAAGGCCAATATCACTGAGACCTATAAAATCTATTGTGATCACTCCTATGTCTATAGTTCACTGCTATTTGTGGAAATGTTTGATGGTCTTGATTGTATTTATTACCCTTAATTATTGCTAAGTATAAATAAAAGTATCAAAAGTAGTACATATGTACACACATTAAAAAAAGTTTGTGATCACTAGTAAAAAAGCTGAAATATTTTTAAAATTTAACTTTATCAAGAAAAGTGTTCACGTTATGTATATATTTTTTAAATAGAAATACACTGTTTGCAATTAAAAAATAAAACTATTTTGATTTTTTAATAACATAAATTGAGTAATTGAATTCTAATGTAATTGTAACAGAAATTTGATGAATAGAAAAAAAAATGTTTAATCAAACTTATACAGCAATTTATTAAAAGAAGGTTTTTATTTAATACAATATAACTCCTCCCCTGGCCCGAAGATATATGGAGAACCGCCTGGGTATGCTGAGGGTCAAGTCATGCAAAATGTATATGATATGTAAATGTATATGAGAAGAAATTATTATAATTTCTTCTTCTTTGTCTATCGTAACAAATAAGATTTTGATTTTTCAAACTGACCGCAAATTTTATTTGATGTATATACACTATCATTACAGTCCACTGCTGAACATAGGCCTTCCCCAAGGAATGCCACAAAGAACGGCCCTAAGCCAGCTGCATCCATCGACTTCCTGCATGTCTTACCAGTTCTCACTCCATCTAGTAGGGGGTTGGTGTATACCCTACATTATTAATAATTTAAGAGGTTTAAAATATAAATAGGGGATGATTTCTTATATTTACGCGAATGCTACACATTGAACAAATAGGGGAACCAATTTTCATTTAGCTACTTCCAAATTTGTGTCGGACAAATTGGTGCTACAACTATACAATTAATATAGCAGCAGCATAACTCTACTACGTATAATACAGAGAGGTATTATAGGGGTAAGGATATCCACTATCACATATTGTACCGAGAGTGTCGTAAGAGGCGACAGATGGAAACAAACCAGGAGATGGGCCAACAGTGTCTTCGTAGTTATAACTGATCTTATCCTGGTCGAACCGACCCATTTGTGCTACCACCATAATGTAGTTGCAGCATGGCTTTACCACGTAAAATTAAATATAAATCATACTTACGTCAAACTGATTTTCACAGAAGTATAGTTTTTGTAAACAATGTCATCGGGTCTCTTCTTCCCAGTTTTAACCAATCATTTCTCATATTTAAATCACTTGGCTTTTGAATCCATAACTTCATCGTCATTTTTATGCACGTATTTTTGCATTCAGGCACAACGCACCAATGATAAATTCTTATTATTAAACATCCAAAAATATCTTACTCCTTTGCAAAATCGTTTTATTTAATACCGCAGTGACATAACGAGCTGAACAGCATGGCGGCTAGCGTTCTTGCGCGAATATTTAAAACACTAGATCAAAAGTAATTTTATGGCACTGTTCGGTTTTTAAAAAATTATATAAAAATTATAGTGGTTCATTTATCACTCTTAGATCCATTTAAAACACTTATGGATGTAAAATTCTCTATTTTCAAATAACACATCATCAATGAACTAAAAACTTAATTGGCAGACTACCCAGTAAGTTGCAGATGTCCGCGATATCAACAAGCATATCGCACAGGATACCAGCGTAAAATAGCAACTTAAAGCTGCTATATTTCGTATGGTGAGTGTAGAGAACCGGAGACCCTTTTTACTGGAAACGAGGCATTCCATCTTAGTCCTCACGGCTGACAACGCATCTGCATTTTCATTCGTAAATGTAGATAGATGTAGATGTCTATGTGTCACAGCAACTACTTATCATCAGGTGGACTGTGTGCTCGTTTGTCACCCTTATTATTAAAAAAAAGCATAATGACAAAAACCATGAAGCAAAATTAAACCTTCAGTTCAGAGTCCAGGGGATAAGCGGCTATCTTTAATCACACAAGACTATTTAAATCATCTGATTGTTTACTTTTCCGGCGGTTCAGAAAAACATTTTAAAAGAAGCTGCATGGTATAAAAGGTAAAACAAAAATTGACAACAACATGTGAAGTCCGCCAACACAAATTGGAGTAGCGCAGCCGTCTCTTCCTTGCACTTCTCAGCAAATAATAGAAACCATGTACCCAACATCGGGACTTATTACTTAAAATATACGTTGTATATTTATATTTATTATCATAATGCAGAAGGTTGATACGTAATATGCAAACTAAGCTTTTTTTTTTCATAAGAATAATTACGAAGACTTTTTCTGTTACATAAAGAATATTAAGTTAGCATTTGTAAGAAAAAAAGTAACAATAATCAACATTGTCGTAGTTTTTAATTAGTTAATTAAAAACTACGACAGTTTTTAATTAACTTCATTTTCTACTTATTAGTCCATCTAGATTTAAACTAGTCTCTTGCGTATTTCTGTCACCAAGCAGTTAATCACTGCTTGGTGACCCCAGTCATACAGTGCCCACAGTCGTATTTTAATAAAAACTCAATCAGGTCAATAAGGAACTTGATTGAGTTTTTATTAAAATAATTTCTTTAATATGAAAATCAAATTTAATATTGGTCACCATTTTGAGAAGTGAAGGTCCATACTGAGATCAGAGACCAAATCAAACCATAACCAACTATTATTATAAAAATGATATGACGACCAAACTGTCCACCTAAAGGTAAATAGCTTCTACAGCTCAAAACAACTGTAACCAACTTCAAACAGGTTCAGATCTGTTCAGCTATGCCGGTTGCTCTGACAAAGATGCTCGTTTTAAGACATATTTATCGAATGACACTATGGAGATCATTGAGCATAGTAGTACTCGTCATTGATATTGATATCGTATCTTTTCAGTCCATGGCGTCTTTCAATGCAGCAGTGAAGAATTTTGGGAATATAACGTCACTCTATCTCACATCATCTGCAGGTGGTTTATGTTGATAGTATGAGCACAGGCATCCGACTGAATAGTCATCGTAACCCTTCTGTTGAAACACTTCAGCACTTCGATGTACCGTCAGTCGATTTAGCACTGTATCACCGCCTAAATTCTGACACAATCCTTTCTCATAATCCACATACGCAAGAGAAAGTAGCAGATCGTACTCTTCCGTTTTCTATACAATTTGTCGAAGGGAGTTTATGTGGTTTATGGTACTAAATCCTTTTCGGAAATCGGCTTGTTCGGGAGGCTAGAAGTAGTACTGAATTTCGAAAACAGCACGTAGACGCGTCTCATAAGGGAATCGGTCTGTAGATCATCAATATAGCGTTGTCACCTATCTTGAAGTCCACTCCATTTTTGTTCCACGCCCCCGGAGTCGTGGAGGAACTGAAGACAAATTGAAGAGATTCTGAAGAATTCATCCTACCGTGCAGTGGCGGTTTAAGAATGTCCACTATCCCATAACGTTCCCTAGGTGTCGTAAGAGGCGACAAAGTGTGACAATTGTGTATTTGAGCAGCAGCGTCTTCCTAATTACAACTAGGGAACAAAAAACCTCCGTTGGAAACCCGCCTGCCAATTATGGAAACTCTGACAACCAAAACGATCTAAAGAAACGGGCACAGCTAGTAATTACTAAGAATGTTGAAAATCTGCCGAAGTTTATCATATTAGGTAAACTCGGGTTTGTTCTCAATTTTTTTAATAAACCCGAGAAGAGGCCCTAGATATCATGGAAATATTGTTTTCTTTTTATTAACCCTATTATTCAATAAAGTCTTTTAACAACAAAATATCAAACATATTATCATACTCCAAGTAAAACAAACTGGAAATAAAACAATCTCATAACGTAGGTATGCATTTGTCACTAACAAAACAACAAAACGGTGCACGTCTGTAATAGGACACAAAAAATGCTTTGTGAACATTTTAATTTATGGATTGTTAAGGATTCATGACATAATGTATGGCAACGGATTCATGATGCATGTTTTGCGCGTGACACTAAAAAAGAACAAATTAAAGAACTATTGTCAGGGACACGAACACGAACATAATAGTAAACAAGGATAAGCTAGTATATATAGGAGATCTACCTTGGTACTAATACCACTCTAATCAAACAGTCTGTAGCTAAAATGCTGGTAAGTAATTCATTTAATATATTTTATTATTCATTAAATCTCATAAAATAGGTTTATAACGTTTAATACATAATAAGACCTTGATAAATGAAAAACGCAGATTAAGTCAAATTATCATAATTCAAAAATCGTAGTAATAAAACAGAAAAATGGGTCTATTCTCGAATACTCCGTGGTAGGGTAAAGCCACAAGTAATGAACATCGATAACCTCTTTTACACTCTGCATTTTGATCCTTAATCGAGGACAGACATAGGTGCTTATAGGTCATATCATCCACTTACCATCATGAGGTGGACTCTACTACTACCTCTACTACTACTACTACTACTTTGTCACCCGCTACTCGTCGGACTACTCGTTTGTCACCCGCTTTTCTATGAAAAATCTCTGTTAAAATTATAACGAGCACTGTAGAACTAAAGGACTGCTCAAATGGGCACTACCGTATGAGACCTGTATAGGTTTTTATGTTTATTATGTTTCACTTATTATCAATTATTACAATTCAACCGACACTTCAGAATCTCAAAAACAATTAAAAAAAGTCGATGACTTTAATTGCGGTGCCATATTTGTACGAAAACAATAAAATATTTTGTTACACATTTTGTCAAATTTTTTAATAATTACTTTACATAATTTTATTTTTTGTACTTATTATTGAATTATTAAATTATAACAAGTTATAAGTTTGTAAATGTTCATATTAGATCTACACTAACATTTTGTTGTATCAGTAAACGAAAGTTATTATTTATTGTCTATTTATTGCTTTCTTTAGAAGCAGTATATAATATTAAGGTTTATAATTATATAAATATTAAATATCTCTTAGTATTAAAAGATAATATCAATTCTCTTAAATTATTATTTTTATATAAGTAAACAAACGAGCCCACATTTAACGTGGTAGAGCTATGTTGCAACTATATTATGGCCTGTGTGCTCGCTTTTCACCCATATACAGTCCACTTTATAAGCCTAAAGAAATACATCTATCATCGATTAAGAATCAAAATAAGATACGTTACGTTAAGCCCGAGTTCTAAGATACCACTTACAATGTGAAACACACAAGGCGCTATTTCACGCATGAATTAGTATATATTCGTAACGTCGTGGGATAAAAAAAAAACAATTTCCAAAATCAAGACTAATTTTTACAAAAATATATGATGTCGAATATTGTGTTTTAACTATAAGATTACTTAAAAATTATGTGTTGCTTAAAAATTTCTTATCACCGTTTTTTTTATATAGAATAAGGGTAAAGGCCACCTGATGCTAAGTGGATTCCATGGCCCATAGACATCTACATCTATCCTCGATTAAGAATCGAAATGCAGATGCGTTGTCACCCTTGAGGAATGGAATGCCTCGTTTCCAGTAAAAATGGTCTCCGGTTCTCTACACTCCCCATACGAAACACAGCATCATTGAGCTGTTATTTTGCACCATTGAGCTGCTATTTTACGCTGGTATTCTGCGAGTATGGTCTTTCCGACTGGTCGAGCCGACTCATTCGTGCAATTATAAGTAAAAGCGGAATAACTTTGACGGCTCCGTGGCGCAGTGGCTTAGCAATGAGTTGTTGCGCTGGGGGCCGCGGGTTCGAATCCCGCACGGAACAAGTATTTGTATGGCCTACAAATAATTTTTCCGCGTCGGGATGCTTGTCCTCGTTCAATTTATGTTTGTAAACTGCCTCCACGGTACAGGAGAAAATCCTAGTGGTGTTGTAACGTTTTTTTAAAGAGAAAAAAAAACTGAAAAGTCAATATAATCAGTACTGTAAATATATCAAAATTTCTTTAGTCTACAGATAATGGATACTTGAAAATACATAATAATCATTGCAGTTTAAATGCCTGTACTTGTTGGCGGTCGTTGTGGCAATTATTGAAATTGATGGAAGGCGGGTAATTCAATCTCCAGGTATGTGTATTAGTGACTATTACTTTTTTTACGAAAAGATTTCTTGATTTAGAGTGCTATAAGACTGCAAAAAACAATAAATAAACGATAGGTTGAAAAATTGTGTGATGAGAGAAAAATGTATTTCGCAAGAAGATGTTGTGACTAGTTTTAAGAAAGGAATGCTTTGGTGGTTTGGGAACGTCAAAATAAAGAATGAGGAAAGAGTGACAAAGCAAATCTATGCTGAGAAGCGTGTGGCAGAGTCGGCAAGGGACGACTTGGACGATCCGTTTGTCAACCAAATCGGTGATTTATTGAAGATATTATATTATAATATGATATTAAGAGTACCTTTAACCGACGAGCATGTATCCGTAGGTTAGGTACCTATATGGAATGTGAAAGGAGCGAGATAGCTGTGTCAGGATCGTAACAAATGGAAGTCCGTAGTCTCTGTCTACCCCTCTGGGTAACAAACGTGAGCGTTTATCTATGTATGCATGTATGTAAAAGCCTAATGACTGATTTTGACCCGACTCGGGCTTTGAATCATTGAAAGCTTCGGGATCACACGATTAGCAGTCGCGCTTACAACCACTAAACCATCGAGGCAGTGTTATAGATATAGATATAAAAGACAACCGGTGATAACATTGATATTTTTCAAGGTTTTTCTTTCAAGTCTGTGTAGAGAGCATACGGCGACGCGTGACATGCAGCGGCCGTATCTCTACACTGAAACATTTCAAACAATAAAACGGGTATTTGTCATGCACGCCTAACGCCCCACCCTGCTTCAATCTCATTACTCAATTATTAATAAATTATATTTTTTTTTCATCGTTACTTAGATGGTGCTGGCTGGCAACGTGGTAGCGGGTTTGACAGTGGGTCTGCTATAAGTAATGCAAGATCACTTGGTACTTTCAGCACATTGAGACAATCCGCCGGCTGGGTTGATCCATTTGCGTCTAACGCTGGAAACTTTCGTTCGAATGGCAAATGGCAGACGTCAGCTAGATTGGATGATTTTACCTCTGGATGGGACAATTCAAATTATGGTTCATCACTCGCGTTTCACACTTCTAATGAAGAATATTCTTCAGGGTGGTAAACTGAATCAAGTGTCATTTGTGTTAATTATTTGGCAGATACAAAATCAACAATGGCTTTGTTAACAAATATTATATTTTTGTGAATATTAGTTACTAACAAAAACTGTTTTATTGAGATTAAGTTCAATATTAAAATGTGAATGTTTCCCTCCCGTTCTACTTGCAATAATAAATAAAAATTTGTTTACACAGACCTAATCATCCAACAAAAACCGAGCGAATCGGGGGCAGGCCTCGCTCTATTAGGGTTTCGTATTATTAAGTGGCGAAGCTTGCGAAGTCACTTATTGATTTCACGATGTCTGTACGTCTGTCCGTATGTCCGTCTGTCCCACCATTATCTCGAGAACGGTTTCGAATTTTCAAATTCTGTTTTCAGCAATCGATTACTGATCACCCAGGCATCTGAACCTCCTATTTTGAAACTGATTGCTCAACGGTAACCGTTAGAAACCGCTACAAAGCTGATTGCTTCGCCGCTTTGCTATGCTGTTAGCTTGCTAGGTTTATTATGACCAATTAACTTCTGTCCTAAAGTAAATTTCGTTTGTTTTGGTCACAAGTTACAATACTATATTATATTAATATGAATCGATGTTGTCAGTATTTATTTTTATAATACAGTAATAGTTTAGTTTTTGAGACAGCCTTAACCAAAAGTGTCTAAACTAAAACAACTTTAACTGCCCTCGGTTTCTTTAATTTTGAAGATAGAAAGGAATATAAATATATTACCTATATAGTACCTATGTAGTATATAGTACCTACTCTACTTAATGAGCTCTAGCCAATGACACTTCACATGCCAGAATAAAAAAAAACAGACAGAAGAAAAACGGTCCTATACGTAGATGGATTTTGTGCTTCAGGGAGAACCCACAATAGTCAAGGAACGCCATGGTCTCGAGATGGTGATGTATTGTGCTGAGATTTGAGTGCCATCCTCGGATATTAGAAAGGTACACTTTTAATGTGAAGACATGCAACCGCTATTTAACCATACTTTTCTTTTTTAGACACATGAGAGTTAAGAGTAAAGAAGGATGGAGAATGGCAGTTGAACGAGGCGTTACATTGACAACCAAACAATACGACCTCTAACTGTGCCCATGGGAACTTGACCTGGAGAATGCGAAAACGCCCTCTCCACCCCACCCCTACCCCTCTTAGCGATCACCATTGGCCCCCAACTAACTACGGTTGGCCAGCGGAACACCGTGCTACAGATTTCGCTACCCACCACAACCACAATTGTCACAATTGCCAAATCTTCGCGGTCTATGTGGATGTTTTCCCTGTCTCCAATAGATACTCTTAGACTTTTTTAACCATTACCTTTTACCATTATAGCCTATCAAAAGTCCACTGCTAAGCATAGGCCTCCCGCAGATGATATTTGCATTTTTAACCAAAAATTTTAATATACCATACGACAAAAACAACTAAATCTTTTTGACATTGTTTTGAAACTGCCTGAACGTAATAAGGTAAAATAGGAGGTATCAATGTTTGGGAGTCGTAATACTCAAATCAGAGAGTAAACGTCTTATATTCGTATATACAAATTACTATGTGATGTCTTAGTAAAGAAACCTATATAATAGGTTCTTTACCTATGAAATTGCCGCTCTGCAGTACTGGCCTAATAATATATCAGCTGTATACACACTAAAAATATTCAACTTTTTCGTCTTAGCAAATAAATAACATTACAGATGTTAAGAATTTATTAGCTAAGATCAGCGTAGTATAATAAAATGATTATCTAAATAAGTGGTAGCTCAGATGGTTAGCGCTCGCAGTAAATTTCATAGTACGCGATCGACCCGGGTTCCTATCCCCGCCGGCACCAATGTGAATTGTTATTTGCTATTTTAAGTGCTGATTTACCACGTGCTTGGCGGTGAAGGAAAACATCGTGAGCAAACATGCATGTCTGAGTAATGAGAAAAAAAATTCCGAAGACATGTGAAGTTCTACAACACGAAATGGGGCAGCGCGGCGGACATTTGCTTGCCCTAAAAACCCTCTTAGAAATGAGGGGAGGCCTGTACCCAGCAGTGGGACGTATATAGGCTGTAACTTTAAAACCAAACCCAAGCATTTAACTGCAAGACTTCAAGACAGTAAGTTCATTCTGCGCAGATCGGACCAAGTCTAATAATTAGAAACTGAAAGGAGACGGCCCATTTTCCATGGACATTTGCCCCACAGCAAAAGTGCAGGAGATCGATCAAAATTGGATCATTGTATAGGATTTTTAATATCTATTGAGGAACCGTTAATGTTTTTATTCTGCATAGCGGGGTTTAAAAGATATCAACTAAAACGTTGAAAAAAATAACGCCCCAAGTAGGTAATCAAGAACGTGATTATTTACTTACTACTAAAAGAATGTAGTAAATTCATTACTTGGTGACTTACTGTGCTCATTTTGAGATGAATTTAAGTGTTTGCAAAAGGGGAACCAGAGTTTCTATGAAACTGGAAAAATCAAGCCAAGTCTCATTTAAGCAAGTCAAGTACCTATTTCAATAATCTAGTGATATTTCCTTTATTTTTCTAATATTTCTTGGAATGGTGGTTATTAAATTATTAATACAAAAATAAAAATGCAATGTTAATTACCAATATTGTTTATTACTCATCAATAATTAAATTATCTAAAAACGGCGCGGGCGGATGAATTGTTTAAATAACCGTGACCGTCGTTCCGGTTACCGAAAACCATCGTGACTTTGTCACGTTGATAAAGTTGGATAAATGTTTGGAACATTAGAACGACTTAAAACGTGACTTTATATATGCATTTTAGATTTAGTATTAGGTTTTATTTCAGTATTAGGTTTTTTATTACCTTCCTTACTTAAGCTACGTGGCTATGTTATAAGTTGTATGTTATAAATTATTTACACCATCTTTAATCAGTTTTTCTTTTTCTATAAAACTGTGAACTGCAAAGTAGCGAGTCGATTTCCCACTAACCCTGTATAATATGGTTTTTAACGGGAGAGTAAATTAATTAGATTTTTGTGTTTGATTAATAAACATCGTTTCATAAATTCGTACCTATGTTTTATTGAGCTAAAACATACCTTATAATTATCACTTACCTAATATTTACAAATACTTACATAATCAAATTAATAACTTAAGTACAATAACGCATAAGCGTCAATTTTACGCTTGGCATAATGGGCATTGAGCGAAACGCACGCTCTATACCTTGCTTATTTTTTTAAGATAAGATAAGATAAGATGATTTATTTGTTAGAATATGGTACATTTAAGTTGTTACAGAATAATTGAGATCCTAAATATTCTGCAGTTTCCTGCGTACAAATATTTTCAGACAGATTATGTTAGAATTTAAGAGAATACCAAGACATTATTATAGAATTATTATAGAATATAAATATACTTACAGCTATACTTAAGGAAACTAAGTAGCATCTATATAAAAACAAAAATGTCAATCAATTCATAATATTTTTTAGTTAAAACATATCAATAAATTAAGTCGAGATTAATTTCAATAATTACAATTCAAGTCAAATTTATCATTTAAGAAGTCATTTATAGAGTAATAACATTTATTTAAAAGAAATTGGTATAATTTACGTTTAAAGATTCCTATGTTAATTTTTTTGAAACAAACAGGCAATTTGTTGTAAACATGTATTGTCATGCAATATACATTTTTTGAGTAAAGTTGTATTCTTTGCTTTGGTACTAACAACTTATGTATGTTTCTATTAGTCCTAATTATAACGTCGTTTTGTTTTTCAAATAAATTTCTATTTTTGTGAACAAAGACACAAATTTCGTAAATATATAATGCAGGAAGTGGCAATATTTTATATTTGCGAAAAAGAGGAATGCAACTATCTAATTGATGTGCTCCACACATTGACCTTATACATTTTTTCTGCCCGCGAAAAGCTCTAATTAAATCGACAGAATTACCCCAAATTATTAAGCCGTAACGTAGGATCGAAGAAACATATCCATGATAGGCAGAAAGTGATGCCTCTATGTTAGCCACTCGACTTAAACGATATAGAACAAAGACAAATTTATTCAATTTTCTACATACGTTATCAATATGTGTCTTCCAATTACAGAATTTGTCTATTGTTATACCTAAAAAGTTTGTATGGTCAACTTCTTCGATGACGTTTTTCCCATATTCGATTTTAAGTGGTGCTTGTTTGCTATTATATGTCTGAATTTGTACTCTAAGTTCTGAATACTCTTTATCTATTGTTCTAAGGGGTCCCTTCTAATTATTATATACTCTTTGGAGGGGTTTATAACTTGACAAATAGAGTTTTGGCGGGAACTTAACCGGCGGCGGTTTGTTGCTCCTGTATTACTGTTTAAATAATGGTTTGAAGTGGACTTTGATATGTAAAAATGGTGCAATTTTGTGTATTAAGTGTCTGCGCATGTGAACTATTAGTGGAAACTGTGAAACAAGTGTATGATGGTGATGTGATTCTCAAAATAAGGTGTCTGTCTGCTTAGGCACCTTGAGATACCATCGCCAACCGTCAGCTGTCTGATGGCTCAATTTGCCGTCAAAATCTCCCAAGGGCTGCACAATGTGACGCATCAACATATTGTGAAGCATTATACTATGAAGGATAATTATAATATATTGTAACTTCAGAGTCAGAAGAGCTAGATCCCAAAGCTGTAAAGCAAGTTATTAAAAAAAATATTTGACAAATAATGATCCAATGACACAAGCACTTTCACTTTACGTAAACTTCAACAGAAGAAAAAAAGAGAAAAAACATGGCTGACTTTAAGTACTTTTTAATCCTAAGCCAATTTGCAATCCCCGCTTGGCACGTTAGTATCGAATGTACAGTTTGCATTATTTAATTATGTGTTATTTTAATTAAATAATTTTTTTAGGTCTCCGGGGCTAATTAAGTACATAAACTTGAAACAACTTGGGGCAGAAATGAGCCGTCTCCTTTACGACGTTAAC